CATGAAATCTAACAAGTGATAAAAAAAATATTGGCCGATGTCTGCCGCACGCCACGCGTTGCCTCGCCATTTTATCGGCAAGTGATACCGCGTGCAGTTGGACGTACTACGATCCTACCGCTCAAACTCGCCGAATAGAGAATCGACGTCCAATTCGCGTCACGCCTATCGCGTCTATTTGGTATAGCGTAAATACAACCCTTCACGGCCCTGAATCACCGTTCGATATCCCGATCGATAGTGACGCCTACTGTCGCCGTACCGTTTTGACAGATGCAAGACATGGCGATCTGGCGCCGGTACCGGCGCCGCATCCGCATCGCGCCGCTTTTCTTCTAATCACACTGCATGCAAATTATATCCATTTACGCATTCTATCCATAAAATACACGTATAATACACTGTAATTCACACTCGCGTTTATTCTCGCTTTTTATACATCCAACACATACACACATCATATACTCACACTCTGTAATACGCACAGCGTATTATAATTCGCGCGCACGTATATATACGCACTTTCTGTATACAATACATTCATAATACAATGTAATTCATGCTCTTTGACATTTACACATACACGCACACGCTATCAAAGAACTGAGAAAAGAACGAGCAATATATGTCTATCTTGAAAATAATAAAAATAATAAATAATTTATAAATTACTTACCGCATATCGTTGGTCCGTCCATCGACCAAATTTCCTTTTCCTCTCTTGTTCATCTCTCTGTGTCTTCGTGGCACTCACATTCACTCGCGAAAACACGATTAATTATATGATTAGCCGTATACGCAATGATCGCGAGACACTTTGCACGGTACTCCCGATCGCGGAACAATCATATAAGATACTCAGTTTATTATACCGTAAGACATACCGTAAGACATAGAGTAACATACAAGAAGTATGATTGTAGCGAATTATATTTTAATACTTGTCGCGATCGCGTTTAGAAAAGTAATTCCCCCACTACTACGATCCTATTCAAGTGTCGTCGTACGAATGATAACAAAGCTGTAACACATAAACAATAGCGCGCTATTGTTTATGCCGCCAAGGCCGCATACCATGCTGTTGATAATTCGCAGCCGAAATTACTTTGCGTGCTATGACGTATATACAAACGGAATATTAAATTATAAAATATTTTAAATTATATATCAATTATTTAATAAACGATTAATATATCACGGAGCGTATCATTATGTTAATCGGACCTGCGAATCGACTATTTTATTGCGCGTTTTCAATCCGAATCATATTTAGATCGTCGAAAAATCGAATAATAAAGCGGACGAAATATATTTAATTTTAAGTTTTTTAAAAGAAATAATTGTTGCCTAGAGGAAAGAGAGAGAGGGAAGGCGAGGGAGAGAAAGAGAAAGAGACAAAGAGAACGGGAGGGAGGGTGGAAGGGAGAGGGAGAGAAAAATGGAGAGTGAGAGGGAGAGGGAGAGAGAGAGGGGGGGGGAGAGAATTAATTATTAATTATATTAAATCATTTCCCGATATTTGTCGCGATCGCGTTTAGAAAAGGAATTTGACGGAGCGTCTCGAACTACTATATCACTGTTCAAGTGTCGCCGTGCGAATGATAACAAGGCCGTAAAGCGTAAACAATAGCGCGCTAATATTTACGCCGCCAAGATCGAATACTATGTTATTGATAATTCGCGGGCGAAAATATTTTGCGTACTATGACGTACATACAAGCGAAATATTAAATAATAAAATATTCTAAATTATAGATCAATTATTTAACAAACGATTAATATATCACAGAGCTTATCGTTATGTTAATTATTCGGACTTGCAATTTGACTATTTTGTCGCACATTCTCAATCCAAATCATATTTAAATTGTCGAAAAGTCAAACGATAAAGCATTGGACGAAATATATTTAACTTCAAGTATTTTTAAAAAAATAATGATTGTTTATAAAGAGAGAGAGAGAAAGAGAGAGAAAGAGAGAGAGAGAGAGAGGGAGAGAGAGAGAGATCGCGGCAAAACAATAATTTACAATTTTGATTCCTATACTGGGTGTAACTAAACAAACGCATATGGACAATACTATCAGATACAGAACAACAATTCAAATCGAAAAGTCCTGAACCATTTTTTGATCTGAGCTTTCTTTTCGTTGTTATATGATGTTAAAGTTAACTAATCAGCGCCTATCTACAACGGAAAACAGAGAAGGTACGACGGGGGTCGGAGTAGCGAGACGGCTTTCTGCTGTATAGACAGGCGCTGATTAGCTAACTTTAACATCACATAACAACGAAAAGAAAGCTCAGATCAAAAAATGGTTCAGGACTTTTCGATTTGAATTGTTGTTCTGTATCTGATAGTGTTGTCTATATGCGTTTGTTTAGTTACACCCTGTATATTAAATGTGTATACATCAGAGCAAAACATAAACAATACAGCACAATACGCCGTCAAGACCGAATACCACGTTATTAATAATTTATTGTTGTAATATTTTACGTATTATATATACCATATGTATTTAAAAATTAGGAAAAAAATTATTAAGAAAATTAATTTTAAAGAATTTATTTCATTTTACTTTAAAATTAATTTTCTTAATAATTTTTTAAATATATATATAAATACTTTAATAATAACTTATTATATCACTGTCCGTAGTATATATTAAAATGGCATAACATCACGCGCAGCTAATAAAACATTAATAAACTCATAATATTTCTCCGCATTTTTGATCCATAATTATGTATTTAGATTTAGCATGGACATGCACCAAACGATTATTTTATCGTGGCATCAAAAATTGAGCCTGGCTATGTAGTTCCGCCGGCTTTAAAATGGATCTAGTGGATACTACTATACTAGCTAGAAAAAGTGTCTTATGAAAAACGGCAGCGTGACCCCTCTCAGGTTTCTCTCTGCACGCACCGTAAGAATTTTCTGTGTATTCAATAGAGTATTAATCATGTAACTTTTTCCTAAGGGCGAAACCGTGAAAAGTGGAAAATTTTGCCATTGAAATTAATGGTCGTCGCGACATGATTTTTCGAAAAAGTACGATCCGCTTAAATACACTTTTTCAATTAGCAGAATCTCCGATATCCCTAGCCGCGGCGAAATCTCATTGGTTATCGCGCGTTCACCGTGTATAAAGCCGGCTGTGCCCGTTCGCCGACGCATTGCCGAACGCGGCCGAGCGCGATCGAGGGCAGCCGAGGACGGCCGAGAACGGCCGAGCGAGCGCACGCGACGCTCGGCAGCGATTGGCCGCTCAGTCTCATCTCGGGCGGGCATGCGCGTGCACGCGATTTCAAGTTGACGTTTCAACGTCGTCCGAACACGCTCGCCGAGCGACGCGGTGCATCTCAGTGATTAACAAAACTCTGTGATTCAGGACGATCGAAGCTAAAATACCATTCACACGCTGAGGAAGAGAGCTCGATTCTCGCGCGGGATCTTGCGTTCGAACACCTCGCGCGTATTCACCGTGTTATGACGAAATTTCGGCGGAATCCCGCCAGCGATTTAACGGTGTTGTGTTCGCCAGGTGTTGCCAGGTGTTACCAGGTGAATGTGCGAGCGTTCGCGTCGGGTTATCTTCCCGGGGGGCGAAGAAGAAATCGCGGTATCTCGCGCGAATCTTTTCCGCGAGACTGTACGAAGTTTACGTAATGCGTTTTATTGATACAGCGTGAAGTAAGCTACGCGCGTGTTTGAATGCATCGTTAGAAGACGCGAGTGCCGGGACGCGAGTTGAACACGATCGGTGAATATCTCGTCGATCTTGTCGTGATCGCGTCGATTAGGCGACGATCGAAGGCTGCCCGAGACGAGGATGGTGAACGGCGATCGAAGGTGAATGAGAAGGACGGGGAAGACTGTTCGATCTCGGTCGATAGATCCCTCTCCCGTTCCTGCGGATTCCCACGAACGTGGAGGAGAGAGGGAAGGAGGGGAAAACACGAGAGCGACGACGAGCGCATCGCGTCGCATCGCTCCGCGAGGAATGCGCTCGTCGCGGTGCAAGCGAATCCGCGAGGATTGTTTCTTTACAAAAATAATAGCGAACAAGTTAACGCGACGGTGAGAGTCGGTGGAAGGGGTCAGGGGTCAGAAACAAAATTATACTTGGTGCGGCGCGAATTTTATATCGTTTTACGGCGTGTTTGTGTGTCAATCGCACCTTCTTTCCTTACGTCCTTTCCGGAAAGTGTAAGAAAGAACAGCAACGGAAACGCGCGTTTCGACGAGAGATCGACAGGTTCGTCGAAAGGGCGGGAGGACGGAAGGGGGGGATAGTGAATAGTGAAGCACGAGTATCGCGCGGAATGCGAGACGCGAGTGTACGTGAAACGAAGACGCGCCGCGATTCGCCGCGATTGGCGTAGCTCCTTCCGGAGCTTCTTACGCGACGACGGCGGCGGCTACGAGCGAGGGAGCAGGCGACGGTGGAAAAAAAAAAGAGGAGCGTGAGGGGGGGAGGGGGGTGGAGGGGAGGTGAGGTCAACGGCGAGGCGAGAGGATGGAGCGGCGACCGGCGACGACCTCCGCGAGGACGCGCAGCCTCCTTACCGGTCTTTGCCTCGTCTGGATCATCGGCAGCATCTGCGCCACCGGTGAGTCTTGATAGATTTTTGAGTCGCGGATCCTTTCGATGACTACCTGCGTCATCGGAGGATACGATCTCAATCGAATGCAAATCTAAAAATTTGGCGATTACTGGGAAAATTTTAATAGACAAACGACGATTGGAAATATTATTTTATGACATTATTTCTGTAAATTTCTGCGAAAATTAATATAGAATATTGAAGAAACGGGAAAAAAAGGAGCAGAGAGAAAAGAAGATTCAGGATCGATAGATCAACTGATTTGAGCATCTGTCTTGGATCATTTTTCTCTCTCTCTTTATTTAACATCCGCTTTGAGAGATTATCAAGTGCCGTACGCGTGATAGTATAAATAAAATCGATGGCTAATAAAATTTCCCAAACAGCGAATATATGATACGAATCAAAATTACAAGGGATTAATCTTTATAAAAATAAACAGTAAAGAAAAAATTTAAAAAAATCTTCAAAAAACCACATTATATCCTTTATACAGCCTGCTTCAAAACAATCGAATTTACTCAGCAATAATAATTTAAATAATAATATAATCAAAATTTTGTATTTATATTTAATAAAAATATTTATCAGAATATTATTAGCAAATACTTAAAAATGTTTCTAAAAAATTAAATATTTGTTATAAAAATATTTTATTTTAAAATTTATCTACTTATTTGTGAAGGAAATAATATTCGTGGGAGAGAACTCTAATTTATTTACAGAAAAAGATAATCTAGCTTGTGTAAACGCATAAATAGCTATGCAAATATCGCACGTGACTCGCACGGTGATTACTTCTCAATAAACGTCATTAGAAACCCCCGATGGACCAACACATCGGGGGAAAATCTGCGAATCTCCCCTAGAGCGGTCGAGTGTGGCGTAGGAGCGACCCTAATTGAGATTTATTACGACGTTAATCCGGAGCAATTGTGCGAACGAAGTTAAACCGTTGACCTCTTGTCTCGATTGGCGAGGAGGACGACTGTGAGCACGTGCCGCACGAGGACAATTCCGAATTAACCCTTTGATTTTTTACGTTTTATCTCACGTTTAATATAAAACGTAATATATGCATATAATAAAAATTAAATGAATAGATGCAAAATTTATTTTGCATAAAATTAAAAGAGTTTTGCATCAAACTTATTCCTTGACGTTCTGAGTTGCTCAAACAGCCGAACCTTTAGATTTTTAGCTAATTAAAAGTCGGTCAGACAGTTCCATCATTGATTGGGCGCATAAATTGTTCGAACTTGAATTTCGAAGGTTTCTACTTCGAATAGTTTGAATCTATTTCTTTTTGTTCTCGAGTTTAAAAGTCGCTCGCATCGTTCCGGTTTTTTGCATACAGAAGTAAAAAAAGAAGACGAAAAAAAAACAATCTCGCTGTTCATTTCGCTTCTGGCACGCGCAGCTTCTTCATAAAATAAGGACAAACCGCCATTGATTAAATTTCCCTCAGACAACGCCGAGCATTGATACCGGTCGTCCAGCAGATAAAGGGTGATAAGAGAGGCGCGATACACAGAGGCACTTCTTTCTTTCCTGCCGAAACGCATATTCTATTTTACTTGTCTCAAAGACGGAATATAAATTCTAGTTCTCTTAAACCGTCTTGTTGGACGACATTCGTGATAACCGCAGAAAATCGCGAAATATTCGTCCTGCCTGATTGGATTTCTAGCAGGTACACTGAAAAAAAAAATTGTTAATTTGACTAAATCCGTTCAACTAATCACCATTTTTTTTATTGAAATATTTATATATTTAAGTCAGATAAGACATATTAAATCTAACATGACGTATATTTGACTTAAATATATAAATATTTCAATTAAAAAAAATGGTGATTAGTTGACCGGTTTTAGTCAAGTTAACAATTTTTTTTTTCAGTGTATAGATGTAAAAATGTAGGCGCATATGGCACGTATGGCGAAGTTATGATAAGATTATGTATTAAAATACGTTACTTTGATATAGAACATAGTCATATCATATTATTTTAATATATAATATTAAAATGATATTTATTATATATATAATTATTTTATATATAAAATATTTTTATAAAATACTTTTATAATAAATATTATATTATATCATGTAGTGACTTAACTGAAAGAAGTAGAAGTTTATCGCACGTATATATACATATATAAAAAGAGCGTAATTCAGTAACCTGCGTGTAAAAGTCAGAATGTAGAAAACCGGTAGTGGTAAAAGCTATCGCTAGTAATGGTAACTGTATACACGTACGTGTACACTATGAAAGGTATCTATCACTGGCGTCAGCTCGTCCAGGGTACAATAGAGGACAAGGGTCTTTACCTGATCCTCGACACAAGTTCCCTCTCCCAGTTTCCTCCCCTCTCCCCCTCACCCGTAGAAAAGTCCTCTACCTTTCTATAGTCTTCTACTCACTGTATCGAGCGCGAGTACCTTTCTTCGGCTACGTAAGGCTATTGAGCGCGAACCTTGAAGAGAACAAACTCTCTGGATTAAGTGTTCGAAAAACGTGACGGATTTCATAAAAAAACTAAAGTAGTAAAAAGAAAAATGCAAAACTCGAAAGTCATAATTTTTAGAAAAGTTTTGAAGACCATTTTTATCGCAATTTTTAAGGGGGCATACCCGTTTGAAAACTCAAAAAATGAGTACATTTTCTAGATTTGTTGCAGAGCAATGACTTGACACAAATTTTTAATTTTTTTACGATATTAATACAATATTATTAAATACTTAAATAAAAATCTTAAGCTTAAAAAAAATTTTTTTTGAAGTTATGGGAATATTTGCAGAACTGCTTCAAATTTTAAGTGGCTACATGGTGTGCATGAAAACGTTCGTAGAACATATCCAAAATAAAAAATACAAGTTTCTTTTTATTAAACATATTAATAGCTATCTACTATCCAAGCGTTTCTTCAAAATTTTTAAAAATGAGAAAATGGCGACGTACTGAAAAAACGCAGATGCACACCGTGCGTGAAAACATAAACCTGTAAATATTCGCATAACTTTCAAAAAAAAACTTTTTTTAAGTTGAAAATTTTTATTTAAGTATTCATTAATATCGTTAAAAAAAAAGTTTTTATCAAATAATTTCGCTGCAAAAAATCTAGAAAATGTACTCATTTTTCGAAGATTCAAATGGGTAGGCCCCCTTAATACTGCTCATCTTTATAATACATTTTTTTGTAAGCTTTCAAACTAAAATTTTATCAAAATAAAATTTACTTGAGATTATAACCGAGCAATATATTTTTATCATCTATATTTATCGCTCCGAAGTTTAGTTTTTGGAAAACTATCAAACACTGTATGTGTGTTTTGGCATTTTTGTAAAAGAAAAATCGATTCACAGAATGGGTTAAAGAATTCGCAGGTAGAAACAAAGTGCGCTTAGCGAGGGACACTCTTTGTAATACTTTTATTGCTATACCATTCGACGCAACGTCGCCGACGACACGATAACGATTTCTGTGAGTCGCGGTGACTGACAAAAACTCGACAGGCGGCGGAGATCGTACGCGGCCTTTACCACCGGTGTCGAGCGGCCTTAGGCCGTTATCCTCTCACAGCAGACCACGAGCCGCCGTTCTCGAGCGACCGGATGTGCCGATCGTCCGTTTTGCTTTTACCTCTCCATCTTTATCGAGTCATCTTCATTATCGTTATCATCTCCCTGTCCTTCTCGCCTTTGATATCTTTCTTTTTCTCGCGCATTTTCCTTTTCTCACATTTTTTCCACTTTTCCTGTCCTTTTTGCCGATTTAAATATATACTCGAGTGATTTGATTAGATCATAAGAACATAAATGAGCAGTAAAAAAAAGTACCAAGTGCACGTATATTTTCATAGAGCGTTCAGTTCTCATTGTTTTTAAAAGGAAAAATATTCTTTATTGTCATTATTATCTACCTGTCTTTCTCTCTGCCTTTGATATCTTTCTTTTTCTCGCGCATTTTTCTTTTTCACATTTTTTCTACTTCTCTTCTTTCTGTTCTTTTTATCGATTTAAGTATACACTCGAGTAATTTTATTATAAAAATATAAACGAGCAGTAGAAAGCACACCAAGTGCACGTATATTTTCATAGAAATGCGTTTAATTTTCATCGTTTTCAAAAAGAAAAAAAAATTTGTTAATTTCTCGCAAAGATACTCGACAGAAAAGATGCTTTAATATGTCGCAGGAAAAATGCTATGTGAACGGACCAAAAAAAGGAGCATAAAAGAGGAAAATAAATATTAGAAGCAAACCGGAAAGCCTTTGAATTCTTGACCCACCGTTTTGTTTCCCGTCATTCACAGCGTCGAATTCTTCGGGCCTTCCGTCGGGCTTCTCTCGAAGGAGAGAAGGCGAAACATTCGGAATGCCAAGGGAGAGGGAGAGAGAGAGAAAGAGAGAGAGAGAGCGAGAGAGAGAGAGAGCGCTCGCTCTCAGCGCGACCGCTATTGTCTCGACCTCGTTACCGTAGTCGCGGCAACGACAAAAAGCATCGGGCCCGAGGTCCCGTGTGTGTGTCTCGCCGTAATTCCCATTATTATTCGCCATGGAAACTCTCGTCGACGCGAAGCGACGCCACGGAACGCGGCGTAGCCGGTGCACGAGGGGCCACTGACCGTCCCCCCGGCAAGGCTTTCTCGTCTTTCATGGCTTCTACTTCGTCCTCTCTTCTCTCTCCTCTTCATCTTCTTCCGTAGCTTCCTCTCGGTTTTATTCCCTTGGTTTAACCGCACACACCGCCGTCATAAATAGGAACTACTCTTACTGCAGTACGTACAGTAGACGAGCTCCATATATTTGTTTCTATATTTCGCTATTCGCCCTTATATTCGCAACAATTTCAATCAGATAATCTCGATTAAAATCTAATCGTAGTTCGAACTCGCCGAGGAAATTCTCGAGTGTCTTTGCCTCTTCCGCGGCAAATTGTTTTTTTGGTTGCTCGCCAATGTTAGATACATGCGGCTCATTCCGATGCCGCAGCGATTACC